CAACTTCGTGTATTAAGCTTTAAATTGCCTGCACGAATGCTAAGTGGCCCCAATATTATTCTGCAATATAAGTTCCTCGTATCATTGTTCCGGCTCTATATACACACACACCCTACACCCCTAATGCCCCCTTTATAACTTGCAGCATATTTCTCTCGCCCAGCAGCATCTTAAACCCGGATCAATCAATCAAAATCTGCATAATTAATCAATCCTTTCTCTTCATCCACGACGAAAATAAGAGAAACAAAAGGATGCGAGAGTAGCACCAGCATCAATTCATCCTTTTTTTTTCAATATTTTTTTTTTCGTTTCCACGTTGTAAACACACTTCTAACGGGATTATAATTAAATATTAATTTTGCGCCCATTAATTTTTAAGATAAATGATCTTCATTAATAATTAATTAATCCACCGGTTGGTTTGGATAATCGATTAAACCTCAAATTAATCCATTTTACCTTGTTTATATATTTGTTTGTTTCATTTTATTATTAATGTTTCGTTTATGATTATTTTCCTTTCATAAATTTTCTTGTTTTACTCGTAATAATCCAGATTGATTCGTTTTCGCGTTGTAATTATTTAATTTATTATAACGAACTTTGCGTATACAAACGCCGATTTTAATTGATTCCCCACAACACACACAACAATCAATCAATCAAAACTTTTGTTGAACTCTTTTTTTATATATATATATATTTTGGTTCGGGCTTACCGTGTAATTTACTTTGCTTAACTTATTACAGCACGTTATTAATTTTGACTAACACCGAGAGATTTACTGTTCGTTATATAATTTATCAATTTCAAATACATAGATTTTTTTTTATAACTTTTAAAAATATTTTAATATTATAGTTACATAGAAAAATTATATCAATATTTTTTATATATTTTAGAAATATTCTAATATCATAATTACATAAAAGACTTATGTGAAGAAAGGACATTTTCAAATTTGTAAAAATATATGTTTTTTTAAGATATGAAACTAATGTTAGTAAATTTAGTTTCATGTATGTTTTATATTACGTATAGTGTAGATTCTTAAAGCTCAACAAGTGCTAGTGTTATGTACTTGCATAATATTTATTGTTACATAATGAGTATATAAAATGCAATATTTCAGGATTCTGAATTTATGCGTTAGATTTTAATTTAAAAAAATGTATTGGAAAATATTTCGAAGAGAAAAAAAGTATAAATGCGAGAGAGAGAGAGGAGATTATGAGAGTTGGTATGAAAATATATTGTGTGTCTTTTAAGCGGGGAATCTCCGGCATAATGTGAATTTATTTCGTGCCGTCGCGGTTTTTATTGCTGATTTGATTTCGGAATATCTGCAGCAACAAATATCAATTTCCTTTTGGAGTGTATAAATATATATGCGACTGGAAGCTTTCGCAACGAAACTGATCAATTTAATGTTTAAACTGGTGGCTCCTTCAGGATCTCTCTCTCTTTCTGCATAAAAAGTTCGTACTATATACATATATAATCGTATAGTTTTGAAAGGAGGCATGCATTTGGGACGTGACTCTTCGTATTGGGAATCTGAATCCTCGATAATAGTAATGGTAATAATATCAAGGGGGTGGCTTTATTATTGAATAATTCGTGATTCTGCTTGGGAGGAACAGAGAGGGAGAGATAGTAGAAGGTGGAAGGAATCTAAAGTACGTGCGGGTAGAATGAGGAGGATGGATCAGAGCAATGTGCAAGCGTAATATTAGGTAATAGGGTATGAAAATCCTGAAAAGCTCCTCGTGTATCCATTTCAATGTAAGTTTATAATGGCGTGTGAAGTGGAGTGTACGCGAAGGCATATAGGAAAGGATTACACGCTGAATTGCTTACATGTGTGCTCTTTTCAAAGAATAATAGTAATATCTAATAGCTGCAGCCCGGATTACTTGAGGGAGGAATCAATAAGGCCACGCCAGAATAGAGAAAGAAACGGGTTCACCGTTCCATCTCCTTTTCCCCATCATCCTCGACCTTCCTCTTTACGATTCTCTCTTTTTTTTTTCTATCTGCCGGTTGTAGACTTCATTATCGTTTTGCGGAATTTTTGTGAAAGGAGGTTTCGACGGATTTCCACGGCGACTGAAATAATCCGCGCATCGAATCCAATTTTCTGACAGATAAGTTCACTCCATTTATAACCCATTCAGCTCTTTAGAGACGGCAGATTTCATTTTTAAAGGCTCTGTAGATTACACGCCATTGTGTTTTTATGCACCCTTAATGAATGCTCGCCAGTTTAGATTACTGGGGGATAAACGCGCGCGCCGCCACCTCTAACCCCTCGCCGAAGCCTGCGACGACTTTTATTGAAATCTTCCAGATTGAATATATACCGTTTTCTTATTCTTCTCATCCACCTCTTTAGCTTCATTCCAATTCTCTTCCGCCATTCTAATACCCATTACACACATACAAAAAAAAAAAACGAGAATTCCTTTTTGGTGAATTACCTACAAAAATGTTACTTAGTATACAATAGTCCATCATATAATTCAATAAAAAAATCATAGTTTACACAATTTTTACACAAATAAAACTATCAAACCTCTTCATTTATTACATCTAGTTTTTTCTCTTCAAGCTTATAACTGCTTAAATTAGTGATATTCTAAGCAAATTTAGTGAAAGTTCAATATGTTTTTTCAGTAGATAGAATTTATATTTTTTTTTATTATTAGTTGAACTGTATTGGATATTAGTCTAAATTAGGTTAGGTTAATTAGGTTAGATTAGTGTAAATAGCTGAAACAGTTGAGTTCTGTGCAAAATTAGGATAATTCTTCACAAACTTAAAAATCATAGTTTACACAATTTTTACACAAATAAAACTATCAAACTTTTTCATTTATTACATCTAGTTTTTTTCTCTTCAAGCTTATAATTGGTTAAATTAGTGAAATTCTAAGCAAATTTAGTAAAAGTTCAATGAGTTTTTTCAGTAGATAGAATTTATATTTTTTTTATTATTAGTTGAACTTAATTGGATATTAGTCTAAATTAGGTTAGATTAGTGTAAATAGCTGATAATATCGAAACTAGTTCTGTGCAAATTTAGGATAATTCTTCATAAACTTTATTTTTTGTACAAAATTTGATTGAAGTAAATTACTAATTTTTTTTTACGTAAAGCAAGAAGAATTATTGAGAATCTAATGAATAAACAGCGAATCCGATTGAAATGGTTAATGAGATTGGAAAAAGAAAGGGGAAAGAAAAGAGGGGAAGACATAAAAGTTTCATTCGGTCGAAGCTCGGGGAGATAATCTCCGAGAATCTTATGAATTGACATGAATATGTAAAAAGGCTTAGAGGCAAGAAAAAGATGTAATCCAATTTTCTCAAAGGTGATGAATAATATAAGGATTTTTTTTCTTCACGTTTTAATTGAATCGAGTTGGATGATAGATCCGTCGAGGAGGAGCTGAATGAGGAGAATAGGAAAAAACTGGAATCGAGTTGGACGGGGCACGAAGGGCAAGTCCGGGTTAGTGAAGCTTGACAAAGGGCGGTGAGAGCCCTATAAATGCCGGGGATCCGAGTTATATTATGTAAGAGGTCGCGTATCTGGTCGTGTCTTCATTTCGTTTCTGTAGCGTTTGCGAGTGTTCGAATTTAGCTCAGACATGAATTATTAATGCAGTTAATCCAGAGCATCGGAGGAGATGGGATGGTTAGGTCTGTGTATATGACTCTGTTTCTATAAGATCGAGAGAGAGAGAGAGAGGAGGATGGTTGATGCGTTGCAGAAAAGGGCGAGGAAGGGCGGCTTGCAACTGTGTCTCCTTCTGTCGTTGTCAAACTAAACTAATTTAAATCTGGCTTCGAGCGTTTGGGATCCGACAACGATCCGATCGATCCACGGATCCGATCCACGGATCTCACTTGTCAAATAACTCATCCTTGGAGGAGAGAGAGAGAGAGACGCGCCTGTTGGTAGCGGTGGTGGCCAGTTTTAATACTTGACAGATATGTTTAATTACTCGCAGCTTAGACCTGCTGCACACACACCATCTGTGTATCTCCCGTCTATATATATACAGAGTGACACTTTAATCACAACAAAGTAACCGCTTCCAATAGTCTTAAACCGGATGTCAGTTCGACTGTTCTAAGCAGTATTACCAATCCAAGATGCATCATTTCGAGAATCCCCTTTGCAAGTACATCAGCTTACGTGGCAAAATCATATGTGCATATTTACTAGATGAACCACCCTGTATGAGCCTGAAAGTGGTTTTAACGGTGGTCGATCGCGCACATACACATCCGCATACTCGGTTTGCCCTCATCGTCGAAAAAGGCACAGCGCCACTTAATTACCCCTAATTGATCGCCACGGCTTATCCCTGTCATTCCGTCTAATACGCTAATAATTTATATTCTATTTCTAGATGAGCCGCAATTTATGAAAGCCATCAGATTAATGACTCAGAAATGGCCCCGACGCAACAATTACTTATCTCTTATTTTTTTTCTTTACGCAAATCCCAGAAGATACTCTAAATCTGTGACATAACACATATATTTTCCATATAAAAGCATGACCACATTCATCATTCATTAATTACTCGTCTGTATCAAACTTTACCCTTTACTCATCCATCATAAATCAATTACAACTTAGAACTTTTAGGTATACACACTGTTTGTAATAAATGACAAAAAATATGTATACCAGCTTATATATAATAGATTGAGTTTTATATCACGAACAGTATAATTGAAATAATGGTGTTAATTGAGTGAATTTAAATATTTGGTAAATGTATACATTTAGTAATTTAATATATTTCTTGTATCCTTTTTTCGGAAGTTAAGAAAAATGATGAGACAAAATACGTTATTTAATAAGTTCTTAAGACGCTACAAATGATATTTGATAAGCACGTAGAGACTGTGCACTTGGGGATTCAATTAGCGGGGCTTCGCTTGACTTTCTTGGCCACCGCCGGTATTTTCAACTTACCAATTACAGTGAGATTATAGCGGAAGCTTCGAGTTTGGGCGTTGCGAAAGTCGACGCGACATCGGTAGACGCCCTCGTCGTGGCGCCGGATGTCGTCGATGACGAGCTGAGCCGGCTCCGAGACGGTCCGGAAGTAGGCACGTGACCCAAATACTTCCGGCGCTGACCAGTGTCTAGCCTGTGACAGCGGCTTTCCTCGCACATCGAAACTGCAAAAGAGAAATTGTTGGGGATGAGTTTAGAGTTATGAAGAAGACAATATTGACGAAATGCAATCGGTCATCCCACTGACAACAAACTTAACACTACATTTTTATATCATTACAAAACTTATAGCTTAAATTAGGATAATTTATAAGTTAATTACTTGGACAAGGTTAGGCACCCAGAAAGGATAGATTAGGTTAAAATTTAACCTAATACTTTAACTTTTAACAATTACCCCAAAATATTTTTGCGTAGGTCGATATTACCCCCCCCCCAATTCTGAAAAGAAAACAATCAATGTAAATTTTAAATAAACATTATTTATTGAATTAATTTACATTTACATATTTATAAAAAAAAAGTTACATGAAAATAGTAACAAATAGTAATAGACAAACAAAATAAAATTCTTAATTTGGAACAAACAAAAATTAATTGAAAACTTTCCCCCTTCAGGTTTTGGAAAAATTATGTTGCTTCATGTTTCATATAATTACTTCAAAATTGGGACTTTTTGATGTAAGAGCAATTAGAATACAATCTTCGGCGTTTAATCGATTTCTGTTTTTCGTTTTTATGTTCATTACAGTGGAAAAGCCTTGTTCACAAAGGTAGGTTGTTGCAAATGGCAGCAATAGTTTTACCGCCTCCTCATGTGCAATTTTGAAAGCCTTTGACAACCAAAAAGACGACAGATTTGCTTTGAATACGTGCTTCAGTATTGGATCGATGTTCAAGAATTGCCTCTGCCAAACCTGGAGGTTCTTCTGGTATGTTATAAATTTCACATTCAAAAGGATCTACAACCCAATTCACAGTTTGTACATCAAGTTCTTTAAAGTAGTCAGAGAAGCGCTCTCTGAGTTTGGTAAGATGAAATTAGAAAAATTTCCGTATTACCCAAAAAAAAATCATTTTTGCCCAATTTGTGTAAGACAAGATTTTGTTTCGAAAAGTTTAGTTAAAACAAGGTCAAGTTAGTTATAGTTAGGATTTACACGATTAGACAAGGTAAGTAAGTTTAAGTTAAGTAATGTAAGATGAACATAGGTTATACAAGATTTGGTAAGACAAGTTTAGGTTGGACATGGTTAGATTAGATACGATTATATTAAGTTAAGTTGGGATAATTTAAGTTAGGTAAAGTTAATTGAGCTCCGGTTAGTTAAACTTATTACTAACTTACTAACAAAAACGAGTTAGATTACTTAAAGATAATACTGTTAAACAAATAAAAAATTCTCTTAATATTTTGAATTAAGTTAAATCAATAATATTTTGAACTATCCTCCACTTTAACTATTGTTATATTTTAACAAATGTATGATTAATGTATTAAAATTATCTCCGTATACGAGAATCGTTACTTTTCATTATAATTTTCGGTATTTTCAGTACAGGGTTGAAGGCCTGTCAGGGACTTATCCGATGTTTAGTTGCCGAAATTAAATGTCGGCGAGAAATGTCAGCGGGGGATGGGGTGGCTTGACGTGATAAATAACGAGAGGGGTGGCATGGGCCGACAGTAATTGGCCGCTCGGAGGGACCGTTTCGCGACCGCACTTTTAATTTCATTATTTACAAAAAAAAAACAGCATAAAACAATGGCCAATATTAAATGTTTTTCGCGGTCAGAACAACCCTATCTACATCAACCCTTATATTTCCATACCCAAAAGTAAATTGACAATATTAGTTAAAAAATAAGCTTCTTCCACGTGTGTAATATAAGATATAAATATTTATCAGGTATACTAATTACTAGTTATAAAATTTAACATGCATATTAAGTTTCATAATTATGAGTAAAAAGTAAGTACTGAATGAAGTTAAATTTTGATCTACTGAAAAGATAGCAGTGGCAGCTGAAGAAAATAGAAAAAGGGCCCACACAAAATACAATTTATTAGTCTTATAAAAAAATAGGCGTAGGACAAGGGCCCTCAGTTTCTTATTGACTAACCGCCACTGAATAAAAGTTGTTTTTTTTTTTCAATTATATAAAGAATTTACCATAAAAAATTCTCGCAGGCTTTCATAAAACTGTAATTCCCGCATCGCCTCTTACCATCGCGCTTACTCGTAATAAAGAAAATAAAAAGAGAAAATTTTAACGACAATTTTATGATAATTATAAAGTGCATATAAAAAAAAAACTTTTTATGCCTCTGATACAAGACGAAGGAGCTGGCACGAAATGAACGGAAGACAGGAGGGAAAAAAGGAATCCTCAATAAATTACGTAATTAAAAAAAACGCGCCCATCCGCATATTGCTAATTACAATAAATCGCTAATTAAAGTTTTTTTTTATTTCATCATCATCATTATCATCGGCTTTCAGATTTTTCTCCACCCCATTCAATATTTTGAGTGTCCCGTGCGAAAAAAAAGGCAAAGGGCGCATTTTAATAACGGCTAGGGAAAAATTATAATAGGCAATCTGGCTGGAATAATCTTAAGTGTGGACACACTCTTGTATGTATAGGGGTGTCAGATGAGGTGCCTGCCCTGTGTTTGCCAAGTAAATACTGAGATGATACGGGCTTTGTGCCGATGTCTCTTCATCTATACACACTCGACACAAACACACATATACACACCAAAAATATATAGAAGTCTCGAGCTTCACGGTTTTTCCAGACCTTTATTTCTCTTCTCCTAGTGTGTGTGTGTGTTTTTTTTTATCTTTCTTTATTTTTCTTCTTCTCCGGTTTCTTTGGGTTCAACTTCAGCGCTCGCAAAAAGACGCATGCAAAATAAATGAGTCTAAAGGGGTTTATCCTATCTGGTGACAAAAGTGAGGCACCACTTCAAATTCATCAATGTAAATGCCCACACATAAATCCAACCGCAGATTTCACTTGATTACTTATTCTAATTTTATAAAAAAAACACTTGGTTTTACTACAATTTAATAACTTTTTATTAATTATAATTCTAAAGTTTTTTACTTGTATATAATTAGAAAATAAATGTACAGCAATAAGAGTTGCATTAAGGTTGTCGTGATTCCCAGGTACCAGTTAAGTTAATCACGACGGGGAGAAAAGAAAAGGGGGAATTGGGTGAATTCTAGTTTAAATACTGTAGATCAGTGATTCCCAAAGTGGTCTATATCGACCCCCAGGGGTCTATGACAACCTGCAAGGGGTCTACGTCAGCTAAAAAAAAAAATTGGGGGTCCATGAAATGAAAATGGGGGTCCACGATAGTGGATCTTAACCGGTGGCAATCGAAATCCCGACAATCAAAATCCCGCGACAATCAAAATACCGACATTTGAAATTCCGACTATATCAAAATCCCGACTTTTATTATATTTGACCGCCAAAACAGAACATTAATGAGTTAACTTCGCGGAATAGCTCATAGTATTTCATTATAATTATTTTATTCATTTTTGTACTATAATAAAAATAATTTTAAAAATTCATCGCTCGAGTTTTTTTATTTCT